CGTTTTGAACACAGTTTTCCATTCATCTCCCGGTCGAATGCGAATTTGGTGATAACCACTGTTAAGGTCAAGTTTGGTAAAGATGGTTGTGGCGCCTATTTGGTCAAGAAGATCGTCCAAACGAGGTATTGGAAACCGATATCGAACAGTTATTTTGTTGATCGCGCGACTGTCGACGCACATTCGCCAAGAGCCATCCTTCTTAGGAATGAGGAGAGCGGGAACTGCGCATGGACTGAGGCTCTCGCGTAAATAGCCTTTGGACAATAGCTCTTCCACTTGACGTCTGAGTTCATCGTGTTCTTGCGGAGACATCTGATAATGACGCCGGTTAGGCAGCGCAGAATTCGGAGCCAAATCGATGCAATGCTGAATGTCTCGCAAAGAATGGAGACCAGAAGGAAGCTCGTCGGGAAAAACATCCTGAAACTCCGTCACAAGAGCTTGAAACTCCTTGGGAATAGTACTCGACGTTGGAGGAGACAAAGGTTTAAGAATAAGAACCATCCCACCAGCAGATGCAGCACAATATTCGAGGAACTGAGAGCGGTTAACAAACAACACCAGTGGTGGCAGCTGCTTTGTATCAGGAGAAGTCACAATGTGTTGATCACGCGTTGTAGGGACCATCGTTTCCTGTGTGGGAAGAAGAGTGATACGCTTCCCTTCGAAACTGAAAGTGTAGGTGTTAGTGAAACCATCGTGACTTGTCTTCCTGTCATATTGCCATGGACGACCCAAAAGCAAGTGACCCGCGTCCATGGGAACCACATCGCAACAAATCAAGTCCTTGTAACTAGAGCCAATCGAGAACGGAACACGGCAACGTCTGGAAATCTGGATGTCGGTCTTGCTATTCAGCCAGGCAAGACGATACGGGGTGGGATGAGGCTCAGTGAAAAGAGCCAATTTACCCATAGCTTCTTTTGAAATCACATTCGTACAACTTCCTGAATCCACAATAAGTCGACAAACCTTACCCCGAATCGTACAAGTCGACCGAAAAATATTGCTTCGAAGCCACGATTCTTCTATCTGTGGAGTGAGAAAGTTGTGTCTAATAACAAGCAAATCACCTGTATCCCCCGTGACACATTCTTCTGTTTCCGTTTGTAGTGGCTCCTCCACTACTGGATCAAACACCAGCTCGTTGTCACCAAAAAGAGAACGCTTGGGACATGCGGATTGACGATGCCCTGTTTTGCCACAATTAAAACACTTAAAGGTGATCGTACGAGTCTCCCAAGACCCAATGCGGGTTTTTCCTGAATTAGCACGTTGAACCTTGAGCTGTTGCCACCACGCCGAAGCTCTTCCTCTGAAACGTGTCGCTTTATGGTCGGGGACAGCTTTAAACGTCAAAAGCTCTTCTGTTGAATTGAGCCAATCCAGAAAATCTTCTGCCTGTAAGCCTCCCGAGAATTCAGGAAGATCGAGTCGAAAACCCGACTCCCATCGGTGATTATCCTCATGGAGAACATCACCTACAGCTTGTTGCTGTTGTTGACGAGGTTGGTGTCTGACGCCAAACGGATTACCTTCGTCGCCCTCTGAATCATCATCCAACTCTTGAGCCTGCCGAGGAGGATGTATTCCCGGCGGCGGAGCCTGAAGTACTGCACGTACGGCAGTTGTGATCAATTCCTGGAGTGCTTGACGCAAGTCCTGTTGAAAATCGATCATCACTTCACGAAGAGCATTGGTTTGCTCATCCAATTGTTGTTGAAAATTCTTTTTCGACGGCATCTCGGAAAGTTGCTGTCTCTGATACCAACTGTTGCAGCAGCTAGAAGCGTAGAAGACAAGAAACAAGAGTTCTGGAGCTCTAGGTTTCTTATCGAAGACTCTTGTAGTAAATTAGAAAGCAAAGCTCTGTTTTACTTCAAGAGGTTGAGAAGAACTTCTCTTTATTATTAAATCAAAAACCACCGAACAAAAGAGTCCAAGCTAGAGTACTTATACTTATGAAATAAACCCTAAAGCTCTGACGGTGAATTAAACGATAAAAGGAAATACGTAAATAAGTAAAAGCCCAACGACAAACTTAAAAACATGAAAAGAAATAAAGGCTTCAGCCCAAAATGATATGATGCTACATCACTATCTCGCACAGCATTGTGGACTTACTAAAATTTGAGTCTGGAAGTCTCTACCTTGCTCAGAGTCTCCTTACACTCATCTATAAAGTCTCAACTTGTTTCCAGAGCGTTGAACATTCATGTTTGCGAGTTAATCAAGTCGTAGTACCGTATCGCACAACCTAAGCCTTCTCGGACCACTTTGCATTGAGGGGAGAGTAACTTCCAGGATATGGCTCCAAATGGCATGATTTCAACTGCATTGGAAATACAACTCAAATATCTCGAACTTTGGTAAAGGGTTTGGGTTCAGGTGACGTCTGAAAGGGCTCAATTCCACCGGTTCTTTGAGGCGCATCGCATAAGACCTGATCGGGCCGTGAGACATGTGTTCCTTCCGATGGCGATATCTCCCAGTTCATGGCTCCAAATCGTCTGATTCCAAGTGTTCCGGAAACTAGACTCATTCCTATTGATTCTTGATGAAGACACCGGAGGTTGAATCGCATTTCAAGTCCTTCGTCCTACGCGATCAAAGTGAGGGTTTTGTCTGCACCAAACCATCTGTCCGAGTTGCTGTACACAGGTGAGGGTTCCTCCATGATCCCAGCTCCAAGTTGCTCCCAAAAGTCTCCAAATGACCTGAGAAGACTCCAAAAATGCAGGACACTCTAGGAACTAATGCAATTCCTAACTAAAGACAAAAGAAAAGACAAATATATGTAAAACTACCTAAATCTATGCATGAGACTCAATATTTGGACAAAAATGCAATCCTAAACATGACAAAATATGAGTATATCAGAACCTCAAAGCTATTTCTTAATGTTCTTTGTCATTCTAGAGCTTCTATTAACATGATGTCCAAAGCTACTACTTTGAGGCTTGGCATAAAGCACATTTCAAGTACCAGGACAAAGATTAGCTTAGCAGATGACTCTAAATGCAACTCCAAGAGGGATAGCCCTAGACATTCTTCTAAAGATTGGAGATTGCCTAGCACATGTCGATCTCTACATAGTGAAGACCAAAGATGACTCATATCCAGTTATCCTTGGATGGCCCTTCTTAGCAACTGCTGGAGCCATCATGGATTGGCCATTTCCACCTCCACCTTGATCCAAATCAGCCCCCATTTGATCAAGCACCACTCTACATCCACCACCATCCATCATTCACTATCCTATCACCTCCACAACCACATCACAACTCATCACCAACACCAGGTAAGTTTTCTTTTCCTTTGTCTTTTCAATTCTTACATTCTCTATTTTTCATCCTTACATGATTTATTTCACATTAGGGACAATGTGATTTAAATCTGGGGGAGGATTCCATTCATTACTGACTACTCTTTCTTGCATGAGCCCTTGCATTATGCGTTTTTCTTTAAAATTTTCCAATTTTTCGGTTTTCTTAATACTTTTCAAAAGTCTTTTGAGTTTCAAAACGTGTTTTCAAAAGTCAAATAAGTTTTGAGGGAATGATGACAAAATCGATGGTGATAACCAATCTGTTTGGTTCTACACCATTCGTTCATAAAAATCTCTTTCAAGGTTTAGTACTAGATTAGGCGGTAGCTAGAGTATCTACACTACGAAATCCCACCAGAGGACTTCTATTCATGGAGATCTTTTATGACAGGATATACTGGCTCATTTTATTTGGACTTAATCTTGACATCTAATTTTCTCATCAATGGTTTTAGGAAGGCATCATGATATACATCTAAGATATCTTACCTTATTGTTACCACTCTTTGTTGTCCTTTGTAAATATTAGGTTAGGATTAGTTTTAGTTCCCGTAACCAAAAACCCCAAAACCCCCATGAGTTTTTGACTTGGCTTATTATCCTAGTTTGGTGTTTCTTTGCAGATTAGACATCTTCCTTGTGGATTGACACCCTAAGTCCTACAACGTACATCTGTGCACTTTCAGACATTAGAATTTTATTAATTTAAAACTCTGGACCAACATGCTTGCAAAAGACCTGCGACCCTGAGGCCCATCAAGCCCTCGTGAAGTGTTTTCAGGACATAGATTACCTTCGGGTATGGAATGTGAGGTGTCTTCGCGATATAGATTATCTTCGGATATGGAATGTGAAGTGTCTTGGGGACATAGATTACTTTTGGGTATGGAATATGAAGTGTCTTCGGGACATAGATTACCTTCGGGTATGGAGTATGAAGTGTCTTCAGGACATAGATTACCTTCGGGTACTTGGTAGTTGAGTGTAGGGAATTCTTTGTTCTGTGGATTGCTTCTTAGGATAGCTGTTACTATCTCTATTATTTAGAGTTTATAGTTTGGACTTGTTTTAGGATTAGACTTTTTATAAATATTCCTGTCTGTTATGATGGTGTTGTCGGCCTCCTACTCACCATTTCTTTTTCCATATTTCATTTTCAAATACATATAGATCAGCTATATCTATATTGTTGATTGTTACTTCAACGTTTTCGATCCTGGCAAACTTGAAACTCACCAAAACTCAAAGCCAGATATTTTACTGAATGAAATTTGACTACCATCCAAATATTTTATATTTCCCTGTCTTTATAGAAAGTCCAAGATATTAATTTTATAGAGCTAATCATAAATATTATTAAAGTATCTATGTCATATGAAATTTGAATTAAAAAAATTTAGTGAATAAAAGAATTAAAATGCAATTTAATTAAGACCAACAAAAGAATTAAAATGCTGTTTTGAAAGGTGGGTTATCAACTGAAAAAAAAAAATTAAAATTCTTTGGTCAGCTAACAGTTTTAAAACTTCTTAATTTATAAATACATTAATATGTGCTGAGTCAAATATTGCATTTGTAAAAATAATGACATCATTTAAATTAACAAAATATTTATAAACACAACCCGTGCGGAGAATCCCTAGTAATTGCAGAAGCTTAGTCGCAGATATGAGAAAATCCCTAGTAATTGCAGAAACAAAATATTTATAAACACAACACTACCCCTTTAACCGGTGCGTTTGCCATAAAGGAGAACACTTAGTCGCAGATATGAACAAGTAAATGAATGAAATACTTGAGACTTATTTAAATTTCTGGATTCAATTAATTTACAATCAGATACTACTTCTAACATGGAACTTGCTTTCTTCAGAAAATTCTGCAGTTTGCAGCGGAATATCGATCATGAGCATTGGTGTCGGATGAGCATACCTCAAAGCTGCACGGAAATTGCTAAAGTATACGAGTCTGTACTTCAAATCACGAAGAAGACGGATTTGACACAATCACAAAGAATATCTAACCATATCTGTGTAACTGTCTTCTGACTAACCTCAAAGGTTGAGAGATGTAGAGATAATGTTTCTGCTTCAGCCTGTCTTCTCATGTTGCAGGGACTCCAACCGAAAGATGGACAACACCAGCATCCTTGATTACCAAAGGCAAGTATATGCAACATAGAGCTTAATGCTTCAGCCAATTAATAAAGCAAACACCCTGATAAAATCATTATGCCAAGTACTGCGTACATCATCACGGAAAAATTACACACTTTTCTGATGAGGATTTTTTTTTCAGGCATTCAGATTCGGACAACTACTACATACTTTTACTTGTTCAGTAGAGGGTTTAGAATTTGAAGCTTTAGCATCAGAGATAAGAGAGAAATATTGGCTTACGAGAGAGTGTCAGCTACATAGAATATTGGAAGCCTCCCTAAACCTGCACATTTCCACGTTCTTCTTTGGGCCACAATAATTGTTTCAGGTCCTGATCCTGTAGCAGTTAAAACAAACTGCAAACATTCTGTTAACACTGGTTTACAAGAATATAAGATTTCATGCTGAGTTATTGACTTATATTAACGCAAAATCCGTTTACCAATGGAAACAGGATGGCCATAAGCGCTCCGCTCACAAGAGGAGAGAGAAAGAAAATGGCCAACACACATGGGCTTCCTGAAAACCAAATAAGAGCCAGCATTCAGTTTTTCCTTTTTATTAATGTCGCCAATGGAACTAATCAAGTACAGAAGGTTACCAAAACCAGCAAAGAATGCCCAGTTAGATTCAAAGAACTCCAGCCTTCTCTCCAAAGGAATCCCCGAGAAGTTCCACTTATATCTACATTGAGAAACTGTGTTTGGTAAGTTGTTAGACTCCAACTAACTCCGTTTCTTGGCACCATTGCATAGGCTCAAGTATAAGGTAAGAGATAAACATACTCGTAACAATAGTAGGCATACATCCATGAAAGAAGTAAGAAATTTAGTATTTTCCCAATGTACGGTAAAACGCCAACAACATAAACCTGCTTTGTACAGCCCATTAGGTTATCAGATCTGTTACCATATCGAATGAAAGAAACCATTCACAAAGGGAAAATATTTACCTCCAGAAAGAAAAATGTCAGGAGTAGTATCGAATACACCTGCTCTCCTATGCCAATCATCACCCTGAAAATAAAAGTGACTTTAACACCAATTTTTACTCTTTTAATTTTTTGTTAAAAAGTGACTCAGTAGATCAGTACCCTCCAAGCCCAGAAGGCCTTTCAGCATTTGCCATGTTCACTGACGCAGGAACTTCACCTTTTCTAACTGCTTCTGCTGAGCTTAATTCAAATTTCTCGATTGCCTCGAATCCATATTTTGCAATATCGTTATACCTGAAAATTAGATGGTCCCCGTAAACTCAATGTTATACGAAGAATAAAGGAGACGGAATAGAGAAATACATACATGAGGAGTGTAACAAACTAACTGAACATTAATAGCCTAATCAAACCAGCTAAGCCATATAAACCAACAACGTTAACCGATACTCATAATAAACCTCAATGCTCACGAAATAACATAACCTCAATGCTCACGAAATAACAATTCTGAGAAGCAAGATTAAACAAAAGCAAAGATGCAAGAAGGCTACCAGATGTTACTCAAGATGAAGCTGAGCATGTACAGAGGATAGAACCAAAACACCTGTATCCATAATAAGACTTTCCAAGTAAGATGATGCAAAACTCCGACAAGAAGGCTCTTCAAACCTTAAAACACACAATAGTATACCTAAATCTCTATGTTTAGAAGCAAACTTACATAAAAGAGCTGCAAAATTCCAACGCGTAGAAAGGCATAGGAATCACCATACGAACAAAATTCTTGAGACGCAACAGGAGAGCACGGATCAGGTAATATCCACTGAAGGGCTGGATCAATAAACCACTTAAAGACACCTAAACTAAAACAATTCAAAAAGAAATATGAAAGATAAGCTAAAAGTATTGAATCTCGGTCTGAAATTCTGAAGTCAACATCTTAAGAATTTCGGCAAAGAGAAAAAGCTCTCTGATTTAATTAAGTCTCAGACTCTCAGAATTTCCAGCCTGACCTAAACTCCAATCTTATGTTCTGAGTCCTATGTTATTAGAAAGTATTCGGATGTCAAGCCAGATTGATTATTTGTATGCAATTAAGCAAAATAAAGGCTAAGTCGTTTAAATATACCTTCCTAAGAAAATCAAACCATTTAAAAGAAAACACTGCCCCGACCTTAAAAGGAGCTTTCTCGACCTAACACCAATCAAAACAAAAAGGGACACCAGAAGCATCGTTAGACTTCTGTCTTAAATCGACGAGAAGTGAGATTAAATGGAAATTTAAGTTTCGGAGGAAACCTGTGACAGAGAATTACAACACGGTGAAGAGAACAAGCTTCTCGGAAACCCTCGGCCCATAGCAGCATCACCTGTTTTGGCTTTGCTGTCATCTGGTCAACCAATGGATTCGCGGTTTCAATTATCAGGAAGGAACAAGATGACGGAAGACGATTATTAGACAAGCGACAATAGTTAGGTCTTACCTTTATATGAAACTAAAAAAGTTATCGATTGGAACTGTTTCTAAAATCTATCTCTTTCCAATGGTTTTAGAATTCTTCTTGCGGTTCTAAACAAATAAATATTAATATATTAAAAAATTTAATTATTTAATTAAAGTTTAATTCTAAAATTATAAATAGATTAATGAATTAATAAACCAGAATTAAATACAAAAATAAAATAAAATAAGAGAAAAAGAGCGATTTTTAGGATGATTTTACGATTTTTCCTAATAAAAACGATTTCTATCAATTCCAATGTCGTAGAGCAGCAATTTATCGACGATTTTTTCACGAAATCGTCCATCTTCATAGTGAACATCTTGCTCCACTATGATGAATCTGTGTCGCATAACTGCAGTTATCCATATTTCTATAAATACTAGAAGAATACCCGTATATACACACAGGTTTTTTGTAATGCTTTTTTTTTAATCTCACAACAAATTGGTGATCTTCTTAATATTGTACAAAAAACTATTATTCCTGTTATACAAAGTTAAAAATAAAAAATTCTATGTTTTCTTTTTAAATATTAATTTATCTAAAAAATCTATAGTTTAATCCGAACAAACCGATGTATTTTAGACTACATCATGTTATGCTCACTTCTCTTATCTCCTATGAAAACTTCTTAGTTCTCTCTTAACCACATGATATAGATGTTCTTTGTTTTCCATCGTTAGTAATTATTGTTTCAACATTAGAAAATTTGTTAAACTCGATCTAAATCTACTTTGAAAACTCTTTTTAAATTTTGGATTTGGAATTTTCTCAGAAACCTAATTAGACGATAACATTTGTCAATGAAATCACCAAAACACAATCCTAATCCAATCCCTATAAACACAACACATACACACATTCAAATAGACTCTTTAAGTGACAATATTTAATTTAGTACTCACTCCTTCATCCTTTGTTCCTCTTAATTCCTACATGAATGGTTCCAAACTTTCAAGAATTAACATGGTAAAATACATTTACCTCTATTTAGTAGGTCATAATTAAGCATTTAGATGGAATATATTAAAATGATTAGCAGTGTTTATATTTATTAACCATCAATCAGCTGAACAAACTGTCATACGTATCCGCAAACATAAACTTTATGTTATAAATAAACAAATGAACTTTTGGTAAATTATAATCAAAAGAGCTCTTAAGCTATGCGATAACACATCTACTTATTAATCAGCTAGTATATAGTACACATAATCACAATTAGACTAATAGAATAATTTTCGCTTTGGTGTCATAAAGCATCCAGTTGCTCTACCACTCGCCAGGTGAACATGAACTACCAGATCAAGCAAGCTCAATACAAAATCAGGTGATCATCTGGAAAGAAGGTCATGAGAAGCCTTATATAGACTCCCATTGGCGGTCTTCGTGGCAAGGAAAATTGTATAGTGGCTGTTTAGCATTTTGCATGGATATTTTGATGTTCACTGAAATAAAGAAGTCGAAAGCTTTTATAGGTCATCTCTGATTCTCTGTTAAGTTAGTAATTGACATAGTATCTTAGAGTCACTCCAATCTGCTTTGGATCCTCTTTTCCTACTTCAACAAACAGATCTACCTTTCTCAACTCTTTTCCTTTGCGGTGGTGATTGTCCATTCTTTCTCCGTGATGTTTCGGCCTCCATTCTGATTTCCCGAGACTTGTTCTCCTTCCACTACAAGAAAACATGTTGAATTCTTATGAATTTTCCTACGAAAATTTTGGTAGGAAATTGTTTTTACCATTTTCCTACGAATTTATGACAAAAAATAAAAGTGGTAGGAAATTGGAAAGAAATTTTCTACGATCAAAGTCCTCGAAAATGGTCAAACATATTCAACCAAAATGATATCCGTAGGAAATTTTATTAGAAAATGGTAGGAAATCGGTTAAAAAAATTTTACTGTTATTATGGTAGGAAATTCATCAGAAATTTCTGACCGTTTTTCTACAAACAGAATATGTAAGAAATCACCTATCATTTTCCTACGAAATAAATATTTTATTATGAATCGTCTTACAACAGGGGACAAAATGCAGTGTTGGGCTCCAAATGTCTCCACGGCGTGTGTACTTTGCCAAGACCCTTATGAATCTCGATCTCATTTGTTCTTCTCGTGCTCATTTTCGTCTCAGGTCTGGGAGAATTTGGCAAGGGGAGTTCTGAGTCATGAGTACTCCACGGACTGGTCTGAATTGATCGCCCTTATATCCAACCCTCGTCGAGACAGAATTCACAGCTTCATACTTCGGTACTTATTTCAAATGACCATTCACTTCTTATGGAGAGAAAGGAACATGAGACGGCATGGATCTATTCCATCTTCTGACCTTGATCAACTTCATTGATAAGGGAATCAAAAACCGGTTCAGCTCTATTCGTCTTCTCGGGGACAACAAATACGAGCAGGGCTTCCAAATGTGGTTGGCTTCCAGACCTTAATGGAACTACCCGACACCAGCTCCATTTGCTTTATATGCTTTGATTTTAGATTGTTGCAAATTTTTTAAACAGCTCGCATCTTTGATGTAGAAACGTTTGTTTTTTTTCGGTGTGAATACAATTTAACATTCATCCAAAAAAAAAATATTTTATTATTTAAATATCCTACCAATTTCCTACCAAAATCAGTAAAAAAAGGAAATGGGAAAAGTCCCACATCGACAAATCGGAGTAAAAATCACCCCCAACATGCTCTATAAATAGTGACATACTCTGAAAAAAAAATACTAAGTGAATTAATATAATTCTGGCTTTGAAAGCCATAATTAGTTAAAATTGATTTTTAATTAGTTGTTGATTAGGCTGATTAATTTTAGATTTAATTTTTTGAATTTATTTAATAATTGAAATTATTTAATTTTGAAATTTATTTAATTAAAATTATTTTTATATAGTTTGTAGGAAAATGGAAAGAATATGGTATGAAAATATTCCTAGGAAAACGGTATGAAATTTTCATTGGAAAATGGAAGGAAAACACTAGCAATCGTCCTACGATATTCTGACCAAATTTTCTAACAAAATTTTCCTACCAAAAAATTTCGTAGGAAATTTTCTACCATTTTTTTACCATTTAAAATTTCCGACGGCATAGAACCTACGGTAATATTTAGTCAGAAATCGGTAGAAAGCACTTGTTTCCTACGATTTTTTGATGATATATGTGGTAGGAATATGTGAGGAATTCCTCTTGTTTACATGCTATCTCTGCTTCCTCTTTTTTTCTTTGTTATTAATCTGCACTTTCTCTCATTTTCCTTTCTTCCTTTTCTTTCTACTCACGGCTTGTCCTCTCTTCTCTTTTTTTTTCTCCACTCTATTTTTTTTCTTTCTTATTTCTCCTCTTCTCTCTCGCAGCCTCTTATGACTTATCCCATTCTTTTCTCTTCTGTTTTTTTTTTTGTGGTTCAGTAATCTAACTAAGATAACTTGTATATAAGGAAGGATACATTTATGTAAACTCTATTCCTCCGAGTTGGTTTGCTGACCCGTTATAGGTAGTTAACGCTGTTGACAAAAAAAAAAAAAGGAAAGATACATTAGTTAGTTTAAGGGAGATGAATCACACTTTTTTAGGAGAATTATCTGAACAAGTATATGTTTATCACGGAATTTAATGATTTAAGTGATAAATTGTTGCTTGTTTAGGAAGATTCTTTCTTGTTGTCATATTTTCTTTATCTTCTCCGCCTTAATTCTTTAAAATTTTAGGAATTATTATAATGAAAAATTATTATAATGAAAATTCAATAATTTTTTTAGAAGCTGATGTGTCAAAATGATGGGTGCTTAGGTGTCAAACTCTTGTGAGACTCACTCACTCTTTATATAATAGAATGGGGATCCAATTTAACAGATTTATCATCTTTTCTCAAATTCATATTCAATCCTTTACAGATTTCGTTTCTTCCTCAAACTTCTTACCATGGCTAAAAATTTACGCAGGGCAATCCAAGACATAAATCTTGGGGTTAATGACGAACCAGAGGCTTTCCCAACGGAGATATGAGTTGCAGCGGCAAGGGAAAATCTGTTCTCGCTCATGGGCAGACCAGTTGTTCCATTCCGGCATAATCTAAGAGCAATTGTTGCGACTCTCCCTCGCAATTGGGGTTTGCAAGGCATAATCTCGGGTCGGGTGATCGACAGAAGGCAGTTTCAATTTGTGTTCCTAATGCCCTTTTTAATAAGAGCTCGCAAAAGTGTGGACAAGGTCCTATTGACCACCTTGGTCTGACCATCGGATTGCGGATGACAAGTTGTAGAGAAACAAAGTTTGGTTCCTAGCTTAGACCATAAGGTCTTCCAAAAATAACTCAAAAACTTAGCATTTCTATCCAAAACTATTGTCCTAGGCATTCCATGCAATCGGACTATCTCCCTAAAGAACAAGTCTGCAACATTAGATGCATCATCGGTTTTGTGGCATGGTATAAAATGTGCCATTTTTGAAAATCTATCTACCACAACAAAAATCGAATCACTTCCCTTTCTAGTCCTAGGCAGACCTAACACGAAATCCATTGAAATGTCTGTCCATGGTTCGGTAGGAATGGGTAAAGGGGAATACAGACCTTGGGCTTGAGCTTTGGACTTAGCTTGTTTACAAGTGGTGCACCGTCCGCATATCCTCTCCACATCTTGTTTCATGTGCGGCCAAAAGAAATGGTCCTGCAAGATGTGTAAGGTTTTGGCCACGCCAAAGTGTCCCATCAAGCCCCCTCCGTGTGCTTCCCTGACAAGCAAGTCTCATATAGAAGAGTTAGGAATGCACAAGCGGTTTTCATAAAACAAGAAGCCATCATGTCAGAATTATTTTCCAGAAGAAAACTTTTCACAAGATAGAAATACTTCCTGAAAGTCCATGTCGGTGGCATAAAGCCAACATTGTCTTTGCCCTGTTTGTATTGAATCACGTAGGGAAAGGTCTCGATAAATTCAACCC